CACACACGCACACGCACACACCCACACACCCACCCAACACACAAACACACACACACACACACACACATCCACCCAGCACACACTCACACACTCACACACACACACACATCCACCCAGCACACACTCACACACACACACACACACATCCACCCAGCACACACACACACACACACACCCACACATCCACCCAGCACACACACACACATACACACACACACACACACACACACATCCACCCAGCACACACTCACACACTCACACACACACACACATCCACCCAGCACACACACACACACACACACACACACACACTGAGCACCCACACAGCTCCATGTACTGGAATGACGAGATCATGTCTTTGCAGGTTAGACACACACCTGTCAGGGATGATCTAGAGCAGGGCTACTTAACACACGGCCCATGGGCTGCGTGCGGCACGTGGCCCGTTGGCTTGTGGCCCGCAGTGTGGTTGGGTTTCCATGGGACTCAACACACGGCCCGCGGGCGGGATCCTTTGAACGTGGCCTCCTCTGGGAACACGCTCCACAGCGGCGCGGCGTCTCCCAGGCGGGGCGAGCACTGAAAGACGCAAGCGGACGGGCTGGCTGGAACAGACGGGGACAAGGTGGCGGTGTTTCTAGCCCTCAGCGAGGAGGTGCCAGGAGCACTGGAGCATTGTGGGAAGTGCTGGCTGCTCAGCCTAGTGGGCGGAGCCTGAGAGGGGCTGACTGGCTCCCACGGGCCACGTTTGGGTCCAGCACCGCGGCTTAAGGCTTAATCTTTGTATTCATTTCCATCAGTGTGAAGGAAGCGATTTGCATATATTTGCATATATTTGCATATATATTTGCATGTATATGGAACTGCACTAAAGTTGCAGCCTCGGCATGTGCTGTGAGTATCATTGTGGCCCCCTGGGCTTCCAAAGTTGAGTAGTCTTGACTAGAACCATGGCTTCCCAAATTGGGGGCATGAAGAAATTCCAGGGGGGGGTGCGAAGTGACCCAACCCTCCACTTCAATCCCCCCCCCCAAGAAAGAGCCCCGTCCGTCTGTCTGCTCAGACACCCGCAGCTCAAAATGGCCACCTTAAAAGAGCAATGCCCGTTCTGCTCTTAAAAGGGCATTTTGTTTTTCAGCCCTGGTCAGTCTTTTTTTTTTTTTTTTTTGCTCAGCAAGTTTTGCTGGTATTTTTTTTTGGGGGGGGGGCATGAGGTTTTCTGAAAAATCAAAAAGGGGGTGTGATGCTGAAAAGTTTGGAAACAACTGGACTAGATGGTGCTTGGTCCTGCCGTGAGGGCAGGGGACCGGACGAGATGACTCTCGAAGGCCCTTCCAGTCCTCGCGTTCTCCGATTCTCTTCTATAACCACAGAGCGGTGCTTATGGCCATGGCTAACCATATAAAGGTGCCTGCCCAACTGCACAATTCAATGATTTCTTTATGATTTGTTGAACATCGTTCCTGCTTCTTTTTAAGGGTTCCTTTTATTTTCGCCCATTTGCAATTTCAGAGTTCGCAGAACCAAGTTTCAGCATTTTCTTTTCACGTTAGCGACGTCAGTGCTCAGGGCTGGAGGCAATTAGGGGGGCTAGGTACTAATCATTTAATGACAGTACAGGCGGAGAGGCAACAGGGTAGAACCCCGACCCCACAAATTGTCAATATCCCACATCAGAAGACACGGCGCGGCAGTATCCTTCACTCAAAGACGTCCTCAAACAGCGTTTTTCTTTTGTGGCCTCTCTGTACATTTCAGTGATTGCTGATGGAAAAAATGATGTTGGGTGGTGTGTTTGGTGGAATTAGTACTGACTGACAACAGTCACGTCCTTCCCTGGCTGTGTGTAATGGGGCCTCTCTAGCTGAGCAGCTATATGCCTGTTTGGCTGTATGACCATATACAGACGGCTATATAACCCTGGGACAGAACAACGTCATATGTATAACTGTAGATCCTCCATGGAGTCATCTAGCACTTCTTTGAAAGTTCTACTTTTGCCCGTCACACAACATCCCCTGGCAAGGAGTTCCGCAGGTTGACCGTGCCTTATCATAGAATCACAGAACACTAGAACTGGATGGGACCTTGAGAGGCCATCAGGTCCAATCCCCTGCCCTCGCAGCAGGACCTAGCACCATCTAGATCATCCTTGCATGAAGAAGTTCCTCCCTTGTCTTGTTTTAAACCAGCTGCCTACGAATTTTATCGGGTGACTCCTGGCTCTTGTGTTCGGGAAGGGGTAAATAGCGCTCCCCCATTTGCTTTCTCCACACCATGTGTGATTTTATAGACCCCTATTGAATCCCCACCTTATAACTCTGTGACGATACGAGTGAGTCTGGAAACCCATATAACAGCATCTCCAGGGCTGTATAACCATGTAACCAATGTCCCTGCTAATCTTTTTGCATCCACGTGCGGAATAATTTTATGTGCACTGAAGAACGGGCGGATGTGCACCACCAGGAGAAACACAGATCTACCTGTGGGTGCTTTGCTAATCAGATGGGCAGCACTGGTCTCTCACCCCGTGCTGGGTCCTAGAGCTCCTCCCCTCGCTAACAGCGACGCGTCTGCCTCACCTTGTGGGCGAATGTTCCCCCAGCCAGTCACCCAGCAGGGCTGCCCGGCAGGCACACGGACGGCGGCATCAAGCAGGCAAATGGGGTGGACGGCTGCTGTGAACGCAAGCGGATTCTCCAGCTCCAGCAAGGCGATGTCAGCAAAGAACGAGACGCCATTATAATCGGGATGGGGGACAATCCGCTTCACCGATAACGATGCCTGGGTGGGGGTCTCAGGGACACTCTGGTTTTCCCCCAGGTGCACCCGATACGCAGAAGTGGCTACAGACCTGGATGCAAAAGACCCAATTAGAGAACAGCTGCCCGGCAATGCCTCATAGGGTTGGCTCAGTTAGTGGTGAGATGCAGCCACCTCTGGGGCAGGGCAGCTGGGGAACAGCCACACATAACACTGCACGGGGATGGCTTGTGTAGAGCTGAGATGTAGTCCCCTCTGGGGTAGGGCAGCTGGGGAACCACCACACAGTGGTGCTGCGCAACAAGATGCCAGTGGAAAGAGAGAGGGAGTCATCCAAGCAGCTGCCCTGCCTGAGGTACTCACGGAGCGAAGCAATGAGCTGCAGACACCACCCAGCTCTCGGAGACGAGCGCACCGCCGCAGATGTGGAAGCCGTGTCTCCGCACGCTGACCTGCCAGGGCCAGGCCCCATCCGGGGCATCTTGACCGTTGAGGATGCGTCCGGAGACCAAACGCTTGCCACAGACTGGGAAGGAAAGCGGGAAGCTGCATTATGCCAGGGCCGGGAGCTACCATCGGCTGTGGAAAAACAACGAGGAGCCTGCTGGCTCTTTAGAGAGGAACCGATCTATTAGGGCGTGAGCTGTCGTGGGTAAAGCCCACTTCATCAGAGGGAGTGGAGTGGAAGTTACAGCCGCAGGGGCGTATAGATAGTTAACGAGTCGGACGTTGTAAATAATTACAGGTGTTACCCAACCAATGAGATTGCAACTCAGCCTCCTTCCCAAGCCACCAGATGAACCCAGGAGTCCTGATTCCAAGCCACCGGCTCTAACCCACCAGCCCCCTCTCCACTCCACTCAAGCCACAACACTTGACTTGCAGCCAGAGGCTATTTCGCTTGGGGCACGTTGCCGGCCTGGTTCCAACTTCCACAAGCACTTTGACGTGTTCTGGAGCGACACCTCCCGCTCCAGTGTCTGCATTGCACCGTTACCCCTGTGCCTGGTGGGAAGGAGCCTTGTTTGTGCCCGCCTGGGAGAACTTCAGAACGGCCATTCTGGGTCAGACCAAAGGTCTATCTAGCCCAGGCTCCTCAATGTCACAACATCCTTGGGCAAGGAGTTCCACAGGTTGTCTGTGCATCGTGTGAAGGATCTTCCCAGACATTGGAAGCCGCAGGCTGGCAATTGACACACCAGACTTTCTTACCCTCCAGTGCCCAGGGCCCTGTCTCCTGCACTCCCCCAGTGCGCACCACTCTGCTGTCTCTGTGGGCCCCCTCTGCCGAGACTCTCCAGTGGAGAGGCCAAGGGAGGCTGTCCCCAGGGCAGCCCAGTTTTCAGACTCCCCATCAGATTTGGACCACAGCCTCCTTTGTACCCCTTGCTCTAAAACAGCCCAGAGCAGGGCTAGGAAGAGACTTCTTCCTGGGGTCTCTTCCCACCCTGATCGTCTAGGAGTCTGTGATTTCCCTGCCTACACACCTCACAATAACCACAACAATCAGCTCGAACTCAGCCTTCAGCAGCGATTAAGAGCCCCATTCAGCATCACTGGCTGGACACCGACATAATGTGGCTGGCAAAATTTGGGCCTGTGTATGTCACAAGTGGCCAGGGAACAAAGAAAGAGTAGGCGGGGCTAAGATTATTATGGGATCGTGGCTACCGTGGAGGTTAGAATAAGGTCGTCTTGGGAGTAGGGGCACAGTTAAGGTTATTGTGGGGTTAAGGTTATCCTAGGGGTAAAAGTTAAGGGCATCAAGGGGTTAAAGTTATTGTGGGTGTCAGGTTCTGGGAGCCCAGCCACTGAAAACAGAGAACCCTGCATCTCATTGAAATCACGGGGTTAAATCAGAGAGGCAGAAACACCTGGGTTCTCACAGTTCACTGGCACAGCCCCGGGGCAAGTAAAGATCCAAGTATTATTTACATAAGCAAATTGAATTACTGCGTGCCATGATGAAGAAAGAAAGAAAGAAAGAAAGAAAGAAAGAAAGAAAGAAAGAAAGAAAGAAAGAAATCTCGTTCTTCAATCTTTACCCTAACTCCTCCCCACCCCTGAAATTTTTTTGTCTTAATTCCAATGATAACCATCCACCTCTGATGCCCTTCACTCTAACCCAATGGTAACCTTAACCACAAGAAAGCCTTCCCCCTTCTCCCTAACCCCAATATGTCCGCTTCTCCACCTTGCTCCTACCCACTATGCTTTACTGCCATCCTACAGTCCTGGCTCCCAGCCTCATTCTCAGCCCACATACCCAGGGCAGGTGAGGCTGGCGTCTTGCTGTGGGTGTCTTACCTGTCTGCTTCTGACTCTCCTGAGCACCTAAGGAGCAAAGAAGGCAAAGATACAGATGTCTGCGAGGTAGGGGGAGTGATACACAGTCATTGCTACACATTATACATGATCCGCAGAGTGTACCTGGGGGAATGGGTGCCCGTAGCTCAACCCACAGTTCCCAGGCTCCGCCCACTCCCCCTTAACAGTCTTACTGTCCTCAGTTAAAAATATAGCAGTCACCCTCCAGCTTTCCATCAGTAGGTTCCAGAGTTAACAGCCGCCCACTGATCTGAATGTGGAGGCTCAGGAGTGAGTGTGGAAATCTGAGCAAGATGGGCCAGGGATTGGATCCCCACGTTATTCACTAGCCCAATTCCCTCCCCCACGAGCCAGTTTCCCTTTCCCCTCCCCATGGGACTCAGTTTCCCATCTCACCTTGAGCCAGACCCAGCAGCAGCAGCACTCTGGCCACGGGGGAGCTGAGATTCCCCATGATCCAGCCTCACGGATCCTTTCTTAGCTACCACCAGCTGCCTCTGTGGCCGGGACGGAAGCCCGGTGGGGCAGGAACATGCTGAGGCAGGTTTTTATAGCCGCAGCCTCCTGCCGCCACCCTCCCCAGAATAGACGTGACCCATCCCTCCAGGAACCCACAAATGCCGCGGTGTTCAGCATCAGTGCAAGCAGGGACTGTCCTCCCGTTCTGCCTGGAACCGCCCCAGACTGGCAAACCCCACAAAGCTCCAGCTGGCTGAGCTATGACATGGGGAGGCCACAAATGACACCCAGAGCAGAGCTTCTGGCAACACGGCCAGGCTGGCTTTCAAAAGACCCGACCACGGTCCGTTAAAAATGTCCCCCCTTCTTCCCTGTCCGTCAGTTTCCAGCCCTTGAAGTCCAGTGAGAACTTTATGTGCTAGACTGAAGAGCCCACGATTACTCAAATGGGTAGCAGAGCACCCACTGCCAGCATATGTTTCTACTGGTGGTGCACGCACACATCTTGGGGCACCCACTGCCAGCATATGTTTCTATTGGTGGTGCATGCACACATCTTGGGGTGCACAATAAAATTTATTCCGCACAGGGATGAAGAAAATGGAGGCAACAGAGCTGTGCACCCTGCACAAGGCTTGGAGGGGTTCTGCTGGCCAAATGGTCCAATTTGCTGCCCAAGCTGCACTTGTGAAAGGTGCCAGTGGGCAGGGATTCAAGTAGAACGGGGTCCGTGGAGCAGGAAGAGGCGGGTTCTGTATAAACCAGCTGGCGACAGAACGGGCAGGAAGGAAGTAATCGCCAGTCACTCCCTGGGAAGAGGGAATGTCGCTGGGGACGGCCCAGGAAGGGAGCACCAGAGAAGCAGGCGGGGAAACGCAGTGAGATGTGGGGAAGGTCTGGCCTCTGGGGAGAGCCAGCCTGCACTTGGGTTCAGAGTAGAGGGCAGCAACGTTCCCTCTAATATTTTCCATCCTCGTGCAGACTTTTTCCATCCAGTGTGGAATAAATTTTACGAGCACCAAGGCATGTGCGAATGTGCACCACCCATAGAAACAAAATACACTGGGACAGGCTGGGAGGCATTGGAACCTCTCCTGGGTGGCCGCACAAGCTTAAAGGGAATGTTGAAGGGCGGGCCCAGGTCCCCCTCCCAACCAGTGATGAAGCAACACCGGCAAAGAAGTGAGAAGAAAGATAAGAGCAAATAGGGTTGCCAGGTGTCCGGTTTTTGCCTGAACAGTCTGGAAATTGTGTCTTCTGTCTGGTAAAAAAAAACCCCAGAAAATACCAGACATGTAAAATATCCAGTATTTTCTTTCTCTCTTGGACGAAAGTCTGGCAGGACCGTTTTTCCACCGCTGCGTCTTGCAAGAGTGGGGGGAGCATGGACCGTGAGAATTTAAAGGCACAGCATCCCTTTTTTTTTTTTTTGCTCAACCAATTTTTTCCCCCATCATGTTTGGGATTTTTTGTGAAGGTATCTGGCAAGCCTCACAGAATCATAGAATACTAGGACTGGAAAGGACCTCGAGAGGCATCGAGTCCAGTCCCCTGCCCTCACGGCAGGACCAAATACTGTCTAGACCATCCCTGATAGACATTTATCGAACCTGCTCTTAAATATCTCCAGAGATGGGGATTCCACAACCTCCCTGGGCAATTTATTCCAGTGTTTGACCACCCGACAGTTAGGAACTTTTTCCTAATGTCCAACCTAAACCTCCCTTGCTGCAGTTTAAGCCCATTGCTTCTTGTCCTGTCCTCAGAGGCCAAGATGAACAAGTTTTCTCCCCCCTCCTTATGACACCCTTTTAGATACCTGAAAACAGCTCTCATGTCCCCCCTCAATCGTCTCTTTTCTAAACTAAACAAGCCCAATTCCTTCAGTCTTCCCTCATAGCTCATGTTCTCTAGACTTTTAATACTTTTTGTTGCTCTTCTCTGGACCCTCTCCAATTTCTCCACCTCTTTCCTGAAATGCGGTGCCCAGAACTGGACACGATACCCCAACTGAGGCCTGGCCAGCGCAGAGTAGAGCGGAAGAATGACTCCTCGTGTCTTGCTTACAACACTCCTGTTAATGCACCAGTGTCACATTTCGCTTGTGGTCCTCTCTGACCCCTAGGTCCCTTTCTGCAGGACTCCTCTCTAGGCAGACTCTGGCCAGGCCCCAAATGTTGGTGGATCCTCTTGGATGAACGGAGGAACGTCTCCGTCCATCCCGGGGCATTGTCCGGGCCAGGAAGGGACCGGCTGTTTCGTTTGCCTTGGTGTGCAGAACAGGAAATCGCTCCGGTTTTCTCTTTTGTCTCCCGGCGGCGCCCATCAATGGCTGCTGATCCCTGGCCCGCTGGCCTGTTTGCCGCACCCCGTTCCCCGCGGACAATTAACTCTGTGATGTCATCAGCATACGGAATGCCCCTCCCTCTAGTTGGGGCTAGATGGAACCCCGGAGTCCTGACTCCCAGATTTCCTGCCCCCCCCACCCTGCTGTAACCACTCACCCCCACTGCCCTTCCCGGAGTTTGGGATAGATCCAACGCGGCATTCAGAAGCCATCCTGTTACAGACCGGACAGAGCTGGGCCGACCTGTCGACTCTAAGAAGGCTTGGCAGAAAACGTCCCTCTGTTTACTTCTAGGGCGAGTGTCCCACTGGGGTCTGTACAGCGCCTGGCGTAACGCAGAGCGGATCTCGACCGGCGTCTGTGCCGCATGGTGCACAGCAGCGGCCCTGCGCTTGCCCCGGGTTTGTGCAGTCCCCGAGTGCTCTGGGAGAGACCCGTCGGACAGCTCCCCGAGAGGCCAGGTCCATCCCGCCGTACGTCCCTAATCCAGCCTCCATGCCGTGTTGCTTGCACAGTGATGGCTACAGGGACAGGGAGGGCGTGAGGACCGGGGCCTGGTGTGACAGGTGACGCGGTCTGTCTGCCCCGCGGGCGAGGACGGGCTGGTGGGCGTGAGTGGGTCAGCCGCAGAAGCCCAGGGAGGAGAAAGGCCCTGGGGAGGGCGGCCCAGAGAAGGGCACTGCTCAGAGTGAAGTTCACCACCAGGAACTCCTGGATCCCCCCATTGCGGGCATGGGGGTGGTTGTAGACCCCATATTAGGCAGGGGGGTCCCGTCTGCTGTCCATGACGGGCGAGGACGGGCTGGTGGGCGTGAGTGGGTCAGCCGCAGAAGCCCAGGGAGGAGAAAGGCCCTGGGGAGGGCGGCCCAGAGAAGGGCACTGCTCAGAGTGAAGTTCACCACCAGGAACTCCTGGATCCCCCCATTGCGGGCATGGGGGTGGTTGTAGACCCCATATTAGGCAGGGGGGTCCCGTCTGCTGTCCATGACCAGCGCACGGTCCCAGCTCCCAGGGGTTCGGCCGCGATTTTAGGGGGTGGCGGCCGGAGCCCCGGGCCCCTGCGTATTTTTGGGCCCTGAGGCGACTGCCCCCAGACCCAGGCGACAGAGCTGCCCCAACGCCCCCGTGTACTCAGCACGAATCACGTCTCCTTAGCCGGGCTGGGCCCCGCGGCTGCTGGAATCCTGTCCCGGAGCAGGTCTGTCGACACGGCACCTCCGGCTTCCGCTGGGTCATAAACCTGCAATGCACGGCCTGGGGGCTCGCCTGCCGGGAGGGGGGCCCCGTCAGGAGCTGGCTGGGAACGGCTCCATGGGAAGTCGCCAGCTCTGGGCAGGGCAATCACGTCTCCTTAGCCGGGCTGGGCCCCGCGGCTGCTGGAATCCTGTCCCGGAGCAGGTCTGTCGACACGGCACCTCCGGCTTCCGCTGGGTCATAAACCTGCAATGCACGGCCTGGGGGCTCGCCTGCCGGGAGGGGGGCCCCGTCAGGAGCTGGCTGGGAACGGCTCCATGGGAAGTCGCCAGCTCTGGGCAGGGCGTGGGGTCTCCTGCGTGGGAGCTGGGGGCACCCGGGGTTCCTTGACGGCTCTAGGAG